ATGACACGCCGCGCCGCGCCGCGCCAGGCCGGGTCGACGTCCAACGCCCATGCCGAAGACCGAATCACGCGTGCGTCGTCATCGTGACACTCCCCGCGGCCGCTTTCATTAAAGTCTCTCTAATTAACGGCTCGTTCGAAGAAAGCCGCTTTCTTGTCCCCGCCAGTCCGTAATATGCGCGACGTGCGAGCGACGCAAACAAAGTTGCCGAGGAAAGAGATGCACGCGCCGCAACACCGGGAAATAACAAATTGCGTATCTTGTGCGCCGCAATGCGTCCCCCCTCTTTTCTCTCTCGATCGAGTTAGGTATAAAATATTTCTGAAAAAAAAGGTAAAAAAAGACGCCGAGTATAAGCGTCATCAGATCAAGAATTATGTAATTTAAATATTTGAATATATTTTGTTAAAAAAAGAAATACATTTTTATTGCCTCTACAAAAGTAACGATATCATCAGCGCCAACTAGAATGAATATTTATACAAACTAGATACTTAATTATTTTTTATATTAAAATGTTATATCCAAACAATCGAGCGGAAAGATTTTACCGAAAGAAATAAAGGAAGCAATAATATTAATGAGACAAATTTTTAACACCTGTTCAATAAAAATATTACATAATGCAAACAACTATTTTATTAGAAGATGACCTTTTCTAGTTTAATTGTTGGATACATATCGGTCCTGACTCACGACATTATTGTTTATTAAAAAAACTTGGCGCTGCTAAGCCAAAGGTTAATTGCGCTTTTCGTCCTTCCTTACTGGTATTAAACTCTCTCTCTCCCTTTGTGCACGCGCGCGCCCGTGAGTTATGAAATAGTCGAGTTAGGTATAAAATATAAAAATATGACATTGTTACGAACGTCGACGCTGTGTTTTCCGCAACAATGTTGCCTCGTGGAACTTGAAATTCTTGCAACTCAATATTTCAGCGACATACGCGGGGGGGTTGAAAAGTTTGGAGTCTGACATGGAAGCAATTTCTTTTTTTTTCGGTCAAACTCACTTTTATTTTTCGACATAGCCTCCTTTTAAGTCGATACACTTAATCCAGCGATGCTCCAACCGCTTTAACCCGTTCAAATACTAGTTGGCGTCTTGCTCTGCAAAATAGGCATCTACGGATGTTATGACTACCTTGTAATCAGAGACTGGTCGTAAGAGTTGGTCAAATTCCTGCGAGTGAGAGAGAAACATAGGCTGTCTCGATTCTACGAACGTAGAAGAGTGAGATTTTAATAGGTTGTTCGGAAAGTTTCGTTTTAAATTTCCTATATATGTATGTATTATATAATATATTTTTTATGTATTTCCTATGTATCGTTGAGAGGCACGTTGGAGATCGCGAAGATACACGTTGAACTTGGACAACGTGGACGAAGAAGACCGACATCGGTAATATCGGGAATCACAAGACTATTAGGTGGCGTTGCTATACATGCTATTAGGCTGCGTTTGGAATACGTGAGAAATAATATTAATTTGAAAAATCTAAACAATATTAGAAAACGTTACAAATACATTTTGCAAACTTTATAATATATTTCTGCAAGGTTACTGAAACATTGTCGGCGAAATATTACAATTAGACAACCGTCTGTGCAATGTTACATTGGAATTTGCAATGTTTCTGAAATGTTTCCGAAAGCTTGGGCGTTGTGTGGGAAGTGGCGACGACAAGTAATTCCATCTTCATGTTGAGGCTCAAAACTTTTCAACCCATCCTCGTAAACGCATCTCTTCGCGGTCCGCGTTAACGCACGGCACCTGCCGCGACCTCGTGAGATTCTCCGCTTTTTTTTTCGTACTCTCTTGCCTCGGTCTCGCTCGCTTTCTGGGGTATAGTCCTCGGTATCATCTATTTTCGGAGATCGACCTACGTCACGCGGAATATTTTCGCAACTGGACCGCCGTGTCGGACGTTTATTTTCAAAGATTGCAGTGAGGAATGTGTAAACGGAGACTGTGTAAACCTACGCGTTACCGGCTACCTACCCTGTATCGCCCTCGCTGCCACGGTGGAAAGTTCCTTATGCATTCGCGATAGACCTGTGATAGACCTGACATATCTAATCTAAAAGTCTTTCTACAACGTTTTCAACGGGTGACTGACATTGCCTAAACATTCTCGAACATTACTTTCGTAAATTTAAGTTAAAAAGTCTTTGCTTAAAAAAATAACTTGAACAAAGTAAGATATAAAAAGTACACAAGGTGATTGAAGCGCTAATAAGGCACGACCACACGGTTATATATTTTTATAAATAGCTGTAGTTATCGAGTTATCATAAGCTAAACATCGATAAAGTTATAAATTTTCCCTTGAGCATCTCAAAAAGTATTATAGGCAAATCAAAAAATGTTTCAGACATAAGTTGCTCATATTAATTAGTAGAATAAGATAGTATAATAAGCAATAGGGGGTTCCATTTAAAAAATTGAAGGTGACCTTCACGTGGCCTTCAAGCAACTATTCAAGGTCAAATTAATGACACCGTCCTATGTCACCCTCGAAACCACACAACTTTTGTCCGAAACATTTTTGTTCGCTGGGCTCAGTTTCTGAGATATTTTACTGTCCAAGTTAAAATGGGACACCCTGTATATGTACATATTATATTAATGCTTCAAGCGTTAGGACATGTTTAATCACTGGGACATTTACCTTATGGCTCTATCTTTTTCCACGTCCCCCCCCCCCCCTATACACACACCAAGTTACATAATGAGGCATTATTAAGATTCGTAATTGTTTCATTTCCGAGCGCTACTTACCGACTAGCTCGCCTCACAGTGAAAAATGCAGTTAATGACGCGTTAATGATGCCAGTGCAGCAGCACATTGCGCTATCTTGGCGTGAGAGTATCTCGATACTACGTTTCCGCGTCGAGCGTATTGATATGTTGTAATCAGTCCCTTTACCCGACACAACAACAATGCTAACGTAGGCTGGAACGGACGTAGTATATGAAGTTACACGAAAATGGCCGGTCGGAGTAATTGACCTCTTTAACGCGCGCATAAATTGCACCTGAAAAAAGATACAACTCGCGTAATAGACGTAATTCGCGGCAGCAAGACAATGCGCGTTCGTTGCACAAGCCCGTTGTAGACGGGCAACTTTTGTTATCTACGAGAAGAAGGAGAGGAAAGAAGCTCCGCGAAATTACTCGATACAAATTCGCGGGGCGGGAGAGATAGCGCCGAAGAAATTACAATAAATTATCGCTCGATATTAGCGGTGATACGCAGCTTTCTCTCCGCTGGTGAGAAAAAGAAATTGATCGAGCCGCAACTTTGTGCACGATGCACGAAAATTTTGAGTCACGCGTGCTCGGCATTTAACGAAATTACCGTGCGTCATTATCCCTTGACACAGACCTCTCTCGCTCCGCCGGACGCCCGTCGGACGAGGAGAAATTTGTACCGTCGAGTTTGTCTGGCGGCGAAATAGCTTTGTTGCAGCTCTCGATAGGCAAAAAAATGAGCGGAGACCGACGAGCAAAAAGTGCCCGATGATTAACAGCGTAGAATGCTTATACGGTACGTTTAATCGACTTTAATGACGTTGGCGGGGAAAAAATTAATTTTCCAATTCGACTTTTCTCAACTCCTTGTCCCCCGCTCGTTTCTCTCTCTCTCTCTCTCTCTCGCCCGCTTTTACCTTTCGTTTTATTTCCATCGGCGACCGGCGAGTGTTGCAAATCGGCATTAATTATCACCCAAAGGCATGCGCAGGTCGCGCCGCGATCGCGCGTAATGTTATTCTTACGTGGCCCGGTGTGACGCTTTCTCGCGAGACTCATAACTCTCGCATTCAGCCGTTAACGATTCCGAGGGACGCGGCTGACTAATGGGGTAACATCCAATTTCGGATACCCGTTCGAATATTCCGACGACGGATAGGCGAGATAACGAGGCAACTTCTGTTTGACGCGTTTAATTGTGGCGATATCTTACGGCCGCGTGTGGGTTCGACGGTGGTAAATGCGCGGAGGGAAAGTTTAGGCCGTCCGCTCGTTAATTTATGCTATTCCCCCCTCCCCCCCCCCCTCCCTGCCCCCGCTCCTCCCCGATAAACGATCGTCTCGCAATCGTCGGTGAGAGATTACGGCGCTGTTTAGACTCGCGTCGCGGCGCCTCGACACCTTAACGGCTACCCTTTTTCACTGACGTTAACCGCGAACGACAGTTTCCCCCCTGCAGTTTCTCGGAACGCGCCGCCGCATACAGCGTTTATAATGTGACTCATAGCTCGCGTTATTCTTTCACCGCCATTATTGCAGAGGCTTATCCGCGCGCGATCTATGAAAGTTACCTGCGTTAACTGCGAGAGATAACGGCCACGTGGGAGAAGGTGGGCGGCGTTTGAATACCTCACTCTTCTTTTTATGACACTTCGATATCTTTTAATTGCCGAGAAAGTCGTATCGGCCCGTGTTAGCCGCCGTTAGTCGCCATCTATTTTCGCCGCTCCGCAAGTCGCACTTGTTGCGATTTAGGGCCTTTAAATCACCCCGTTCCTCGTCAACGCGGAGGGCGTTTTATCGCGAGTGACGCAACAAGAGTCACGAATCTCCTCGCCCGACCCCTATATATCGGCCGTATATCGCGCTACGCGACTGTATTTATGCGATTTGGTTCTACTATTTCGCTAAAAGCATTCTCGACCCAGCGCGGCGCGGCGGCGCGCTCGCGTGACTTTCCTTCTATTTCAGAATCACGTGAATCGCAAGTGTTTCACGCCTACGCGCCGTCTGCGGTACCACCCTCCGCCGCAATTCCGGCGAAGGAATTTTATTTTCGAACAGTTGTTATTCCACGACCGCGCTTTATGCGCGCGCGTGTTATCGAATGGGCATCTTGTCGTTATACAACGTTGAGTTTGGCGGTCGATAAAATTTTATGTAATTTTATGTAATTAATATGTTGAAGATAAACCGAGAAAGAAACGAGACGTTCGTTTAACGCGACGATTCTCACGTTGTTGCAGAGGAGCGACGGCATAAGGAAATTACGGACACGTACGCCACGAAGTTTTCGGATTATACTTTTTTGGATTTGCAATTGGAGCTCGATGAAACCGTCTTCCGTAGCCGTTCGACTTTCTGCGTGGAGATAAAACCGAAGCAGGGATATTTACCAGAGGCGGAGCAGAGGTTTCCTGGATGCCCGTATTGTCTCAATCAGTACGCCAAGGTATCTAACGAGCAGCATTAACTTTTAATGTAATTTTACTTTTACAGAAACAGTAAATCCTCGATTTAACGGGCTAAGGGAGAGGGTACCCCTTTACTCTTTCAGCCATGGGTACTTTGAGTTACCGCCTTTATGATCTCGTTTTTTTTCTCGCTATAACTTCTACTCTGAAATTTTTTTATTGAATTTTTTCATTTTACGGGTTCCTAAGGGTTGAAATTTGATACTGGAGTCGTTATTATAAACAAATTGAAACTCGAGAGAATGCATTTTATTAATATTTAATTCATTTGTGAAGAAAAATTTGATTGTAAACATATGCCAAAATTATTTTCTTATTTTCTATGTTTTTGGAATCGTTGATTTCAAATTTGAAGTTAAATTGGAAAAATTCGAGATGGCGGATCTAATTCATTTTTCATGAAAATCGATATACCTACAAGAAAGTTTTTGATCGCAAAAGTCAAGTACGAAGTCAGGTTTTTAAAATTAAAAATGGCGGAATATGGTAATTAAAAATTAAAAAGTTAAACATTTTCTATGAAAATCGGTACATATACCGTGGGATTCGCCATTTTGAATTCTTAAAATTTCACTTAAGATTCGAATTTAGCGGCCCAAAAGACCCCGGTTGACTTCCGGTGAAAAATGATGAATTTTTTTAACTTATTTCAGTCCACCATACTGGATCCGCCATCTTGGATTTAGGACTTTCAAAAATCTGATTTCATTGAATTCAGCGACCTCAAAAACATAGAAAACCACTGTACGTGTAATAATTGCGTCCTGAATTGCGTGACTGAATGGATTAAATCGAATGTATCCTGGAGGAGCCACTTTTTTTACTATTTTTTACTGTTGTTAATATAAAAAAGCTTTAAAATAGTATGTAGTATCGTGCAATTTAAAATTACCAAATTATAATAAAGCATATATGTAACGTTTACTCACCTTTTTATAGTTGAAGACTATTTTGATAATTTCTCAATTAACTTCCTTTTAATTTTTAATTTTTTAAAAATTTATTAATTATACACCATAATGTACTGTGTCCAATATTCGTTAATTCCGAAATTCATATTACATCGAGATCCGTTAAATCGAAGATTTGCTGTAGTAACATATAACATAAATATCAGAACGTACAAATTAAAACAGAATAATTTTTTAGCTGCGGAGAAAGAGTATTGCCGCTCGTAGTAATTACTGTCCGTTCGATCTGTTCTCCGGGGTGGAGACGCGCATGAAAGCTGCCATAGAAGAGCTGTTGAAATCACCGCAGAACAATTTGAAAATTTTCAAGGATGGCATCGTCGTCTACGATCAGACATCTTCGTCAGATGATCTTGAGAACGTGCTAGACGAGTGGTTTCGGAATGAGGCGACGGAGAGCGGCGAGCGAGCTCGCAACATCGACGAATTCTGCAAGTTGGTTTGTGCCGCTCTTATGCGACCTGTCGCCCAAGAGCCGCTGAAACTATCAGCCCTCTCACGTAATTTTCTTCCTCCCCCGAATCAAGTTTCAACGACATTTTGTGCCGCACCACGCGCGGTCGTGAGAGCCGAATGGTGTCTTCGCCACGCGGGAAAGGTATTTGCTTTGAACATAATTCTTTATTGAAAATAATGATCGTCGCCGTCTAATTTTAATTTTTTTCATCTTGCAGAAGTGCAATTTTGATGGCAGCGAATTACCAAAGAACTCGGTGCTGGAACGAATGTGGAATATGCAGCGATTGTCTTACGTGAATATTAATTATATTTACAGCGTCTATTCCAAGTTTGCATCGGTATTAAATGACAATATGATATGCTCTGGCTGGACAAAATTAAATCAAACTTGTAATATTTTTCACGCTTCACTTGATAAATCTACGGTATATATTTTATACTTACAACATGCACATATAAAAGAAGGAATATTTATTGAATGTGAATTATAGAATACTTATCTCTCTCTCTCTCTCTGTTTCAGAATGCAGTTCAGAAAATGGAGACCACGAGGGAAATAGACTTTCAAATGCTTTTTAAGAGCACAATTGCACAAGAATGCAATGATGATTTTAATGGAAATTGTAATACCAGCTCAGAGTGTATCTTATCTACTAATACCGACACAACGTTTGTAAATAGCGATCTTGTATTGCAAACAGAAATTAGTGCCAACCTAGATTCGCACCAACCATTTTATAAAACCGAAAGTCTGTGTAACCAAAGAGCTAGCAACGATGACGCCGAGCGAAAGGCAGATATGCAGATTACTGTCGAACATTTGTCAGCATTACAAAATTACCTTTTATTTGTCACAGCCAGAGATTGTTCGATATTAATGACCTTCCGCGAATTGCATCCGTAAGTGTATTGTTCGAAACAATGGCCCCTATTTTCACTGAATGTTTAAAGCGCCGAGAATAGTATAAATTTTATAACAAAGGCAAAATTGATGACAAAATTGATTTAATGCAATAGTCCTATAAGAGGAAATGCGCTTTCTAATTATTCTCTATAGTCATTGTCCAATCGTATAATGGTTACCCAATGTATTGTAGCAAATATTTCATTTATCTAATTATGATTATGTGATCGTGGATTTAATGTAATTAAAATTAATTCAGAAAATATCTTGGAAAACATACAATTCATAAATATATATAACGTGAATTGTAGCGTCAAATGTGCAACGTATGAATGATTATCACTTTTGCCATGTTAAACTCATCTCGGATAATTGCATGTGTTAGTATAACTAGTATAAGTTATAACAATTATAAATTTTCTTTTTTTCTTACAGAGAAAATGCATCAAGAATGCCTGTGGAAAATACGATAAAACTTTCAGAGCAACATTATTTTTTAAGCAGTGTCAGAGTCTCGGATTTGGACTCGAAAAGCGTTCATTCCATTGAAAAACATCGACGACGAGACGAGGATATTTTTGTTTCTACAATTTCTTTGCTTGAAGAAGCTATTCTTCTTACGAATAGATAATTAAATAGATAATAGATAATAAATAATAAAAAAGCATTTGAGAAAGAAAAGTGATGCTAGCAATGATACAGTATTTTTAATATACGATAAAAACTTTATTTAGAATAAATGTGTGGACTTAATTGACGATGCGCTTACCGATTAGCACATCATTTCTTATATCCATATGCATATGTATGTGTGGTATTCGTGAGACTGCGAGAAAGATGTTGATGCTGTCATTCGTCAATCAGTATGTTAAATTGACGATTTCACTTCCGCATGTATAATGTACAAAATGATGTGCATACAAGTAATTCAATGAACAAACATATCTTTCAGAATTCCATTTAGCCTTTATGGTTTTAAGATTTACAGATAAGTAAAGATAGAGCAAATGGAATCATGACTAAACTGCTTCAAAAATTCAACGGCAATTTAATGACACCAACGATTTCTAACACTTGGGGTCATTTCGTTGTACCTCACCTTCGAAAACGTCCGCGAAGTTCCAGGATCAGAGATATTGTAGTGAAGCGACCTGCTAGGAGACGGCGAGGTTTGAATCGGAGTGTGGAGACATCAAACTCAATATTTTTATTTTTACGTTTCCAATGAACATATTCTTGAGTCATTAGTACTTTAAATAATAATCTCCTGACCGGCCGCTTTACTACAGTGTCTCTGATCAGGTTAAATTTTTAAAGCAATTTAGTCATAGTTCTTTAATGTCACAAAATGTTTAGATAGAAATTTGTTTGTAAGTAATGTTCAAATTATATTTAATAGTGTCATATTTCGATTGCACTAATTTTTCAACGAAATAAGAGATTTACATTGACAGAATGCAAAAATGTTATACGTAGCATTGTGAATATAATTTTCGATTTAAAATATAGCAACTATTTCGCTGCGTAAGCATCTCGCGTTCAAAGACTGACTTATATAAAAATAAAATTAGCTCGTTATTTAACTGTATACTGGTAAATTGAAGCTTGTCTTGATGTTGGTGATTAGATTAAATAAGAATTGGAAAAACAAATTTTCTACCAAGTGCACAGCATGTAGCACAAATTTGTAATTTATTTATATCTTATGATAAAAGACTGTAAATAATTTGTTATTTGTCATAAAAATAAATTTATTTTCAAATGCCAAAAGAAGATATTTATGTAAAATATAAATTATTTACAAGAGCTATTTAAAATAAAAGAGAATACGGTGTATTTTTTGTTAAACAAAATTGAGATTAGTACTTTTAATCTCTTAATAGTAATAAAATTGTTCATTTCTACGCAAAGTGCTTCTTTAGAAGTTAGTTTGCTTATTAGTAGTGGCTTTTCAACAATGCGAAAGAGAATATCGCCTGTTTCATATTTAAAGAGTAAGTGCAGCTAGTCAGAAAAAGAGAAATAAAAAGGAAATTTTTTGAAAATACTAAACTAACAAAAATAAAGAGAGTTGGACAAAAAGAATTCGGCAATTGTGCAGAATTGGTGCTCCAGCAGAAATCGCAATTATTTTTAAATGCAATTAACAAAACAAGCTACAAAATATGTGTACGCGCGGTTTTAATAGGCGGCTTCGAATTTTCGTACGAAAACTGTATTATTTATTCAATACTACTCATATAGTCGGAATGAAACGTTGACAAGAAAATAAGCAAAGTTCATAGACAGGTTACAATGACTCGGAAAAGTAGTTTTGTGGAAATTAGATCCACGCGTTGTGCGGTTCCACATAGGTTTGCGACTTTCTGCGAGAGATTTCTGACAATCTATCTATTTCCATATGATCCATCTTAAGCTGGCGCCGCACTATGCGCGATTTGTGATTTATATATTTGTGAATAGTGTGGAGGAAAAATTCGTCGATTCGCCGTGCGCGATTTGTTAGCCGAGCGGTTTTTTGACAAAAATAGTTACCCAGTTATTAAATATAAAAAAATCGCCGTCTTAACTTGGTCTATCGTCCAGTGTAAGGGCGCGGCTAGATGTGGCCTGCCCGCGACCGACGTTGCTAGACACGCGGGGAGTTGTTTATTACATGTAGCTGTTGCCGTTTTTAATGAACAACGCTTGCGCGCCTAGCAACGTCCCAGGCAGCACACAAGTCTAAAAGATGTCTTAAAGATACCTTTATGACGTCTTTTAGACATGTGCGCTGTCCGGGGCCTCAACACGGGCCGGCCGTATCTCGCCGCGCGCTTGCATTGCGAAGAAGGCTGGACTGAGACGCCGATTTTTTATAATTAATAACTCGTTAACTATTGCGAACATTGCAAGATGGTTGGGGACTTTTCGATTTAGTTTAGTCCGCTCTATCTACACAAGAAGCAAGTCCCAAATATTCGCTGGCACCCTGTACTTTTATAGCTTATTTTATTGATTGCTACAAAAAAAATGGCGATTCTTGCTGGGGCGCCAATTCTGCACATTTACCAAGAATCCTTCAAGACCATATATCATTGTCCGAGTATCCTATAATTGATACAAGTACCCATACAGCACCGAAGCTTTCAGAAACATTTCAGAAAACATTGTTGCAATGTTACAATGTTTCTGAAGTGTTTCTGAAAGCTTCGGTGCTGTATGGGTGGTATAGGCGATTATTGTGATATTAGTTTAAATAGTAAGATAAATGTTTTTCTTATCTTATACATATGTGACATCATGTCTGTGCCTCTTAAGCTTGATTGTGTAACACGTGTTATTTCTTAATAAATAGTGTCTGTATAAAAATGACGAGTGTGCGTAATTGCACGATATTTGTAGTTCATAAAAGAAATGACGATCACGTTATTAAATAATATTAAATTTGGCGAAGATTGTAGGGACTGTGAGTTTTTAATATACTGACCAATAAAATGGGGCACGCCGGAGAGACAATCGCGTTGCAATGTCACACTAACGTGATCGAATTTTCGCACGGGTTGTCCCGGGTACAAGGCCGCGTCGCACAGTTATGAATGACGTGGTCGCAAGGTGGGGTGACCGTGCACCAGCGTTGACCGAACCAGGAGTGTACGAGACTACCGTCCCTCGTAGCCTCTCAAATGTTTCGAATGAAATAAGCAAGCGATCCTAACAAACGATGCGACACAGAACAGAAGAGACGACAGACGATTGGAAATTGTATCGCACCTTGAAAGTTTTCAATTGTCCTCCCGCTTTTTACCGTTTTAGAAGAGAACAAAAAATTGTGCCCTCTTACAAGGAACGTGCCCGGGCTCTTGGATCCGTCGCGACGGTCATGAGCCCGTAGCGCGCGATTGGTGCGCCGGCAAGGGGGTCGTACACCTTCGGCTGCATTCGTTCGCCTTCGCCGCCCCACCGCCGCGAGGGCCCCTCCCATCGGGGGTGATTCGCAGATCTGCGGCGATGGTCGTTCAGTCAACGTTCATAAATGATGACGTAAGGTTCGCGGCTCGTAGCGAGCTGGCGATTCGTGGTACGTGGTTAACGGCCTGTCAGTGAACCTCGGACGGAGATGGGGACGCAGAAGCCCGGGGAGTGGGCGAATTTGGTGCTCGCGCGTTTCGAGGATCAGGTGCGCGATCGCTCCGATGCTCCGATGCAGGGAAGCATCGGTCACCCTGGCCCCCGTTTCCTGGTCGTTACGTTTCGTGTGCTCGCCCTCCTCGTCTCACCCTCTTCCGGTGTACGGCTACACCTCCTCTTCTCCTCCTCCTCCTAATGTCACGTTCACGATGCATCTATTGGCACTTGCGTCGGTACCCGTTTGTTCGTCGACTCCTCGTCAACGCCTTTCATGGGCGCGCCTTGAGGACTCCACACCGGTACCGGTCGGCCCCACTCCCCGCCATACTCGCATCCGTTCTCCGGGTATCGAATTTCGAGTTTTCTCGTTGCAGTGCGCGGGGTGGTGGCAATGCTTTCTCAGCCAACTGCTCCCGGCTTCCGGATCTCCGCGGCGGGCGAGGACGAGGATGCGACTGACAGCCGGTTGTGCCCACGAGTCGGTCAGCGTTGATTCAGGCTGAATTTGAACTTGAAATGATACCCGACGGCAGGCTACGCCGCAAGAAACGCAATTCGAAAATCCCGATTCCAGAGATTCTCGCGAACCCTTAACGTGGACAACGACGAAATTTACAAAAGGGAATTCGTAAAGATTGCACACCGTTGCCTCAGACGTTTCACTTCTCTGACACAAATTTGCCGAAAGATTCGCTCTCCCTTGTACTTGCTCGCGCGATATCTCGGCGAGAAGCGACTCGTCGAAACGACGTCGAACCGATGTCGAGTCGTTTCGGTATCGATCGGCGAAATCATTTCTCACTGGGATATGCCGATTTTACACCCGGTTTTCTAGGCGCGGCAAAGAGAATTGTATTTTACACGGAAATCGATCAGAGATTTGTTTAAAATTTCGATAGATCAGGGCTTGTTGAAGTGTTCCTACCACGAAGAGCGGCGTGTCGAAGTCTCGCATTGAGCACAAACGAGATTCATTCGCGCAAATGACGTAGAGACTGGCACGTTCAATACGTCGGCCTGATTGAAATGTTAAAATTCGCCTTGGCGCAATTCTCTCAACTCGACACGATTGCGAGACGCTCGACGTTTTGCCACCAGGCTGTCGTACGAGCAGTCATTGATCCAACGTCTCTCGGACGTAACAGAGGGGATCGAACTGAACGGGTTTTCGAATTGGCCATCGCGATCTAGATTTGTCCTCCGAGGGGGGGGGGGGGAAGAAATCGAACGTCCTGTGATCGCGTAAGACGGTCGTACGTTTCGAGTGAGTATCGATATAAAGTGGAGGGGATCGCCGTGGCAGAGAATACGATGTCGTCCTACCCTCCTTGATTCGTTCATTCATGAAAAGATGCATTCTTGCAAAGATGGCCCCTCCTCTCCCGGCTCCCCTCGTGCGGTTTGACCTTCGCCCCCTCCGCCTCAATCTCGCCGCGAGAGCAGCTCAATCAAGGTGTATACACAGTAACGTATCTATTAGGGGCGCGAGGCGTAGATATCGGTAGATCTTGCAACCGCGTTATCTCCTTTACCCCCCGCTGTACGTTAGCGTGAGTGACGAGAGGGACGATGTGATCGCGATTAAAACTGCGTGTTACTCGCGCGCGGTACGCGGTATGAATTTGCGCGAACGTGGGTATTCGCGAAACCAACGGGGACGTTGACAATGGGCACTCGGTCAACGAATCTTTCCGAGCAAATTGAATAGATTTCAGGTCGAGATCCTGTACACTCGCATTCGTCCCGCCCCCGTGAAAGTGGCGATGAAAAAGGGGGAAAAAAAGCACAGAGAACGAATTCTCTTACAGTAGGTGCGTTTGACGCGAGTCGATGAATGAGACGGGGTGGATCCATGAATGAAAGTTGGCATTCCCTTTACGCACAGCTCGACCGCGCCGCCCGCGCTACCCGAACAAAGGGGAATAAAACCGAAATTGATTGAGTCGCACGAACGTACGAGCGGGACGTTTCCCGACGCCGAGGCAGACGTTAGTCGCCACATTATTTCAATGATCGTCACCTTTCGCCCCCTCGTTGCCTCCTCCATTCCAGTAGTCGCCGTACCCGCGGGAGACGAAAATGGATTTACCCATTGCTCGTCCGCGCACACTTTGTACTTTATTTAAATATATATATTTATTATGCATTGTACACGTTTTGTTTATTTTCACCTCTCTCTAAGAGATCGCTCCTTTGAACTCCAGCTGCCGTGTCGTTCCGGTTCCGAGAGCCCTCATTCTCGGGTGAACGAGAAGAGGAGCAAGAAATGCCTGATAGAGATCTCCCGGTACCGTTTCTCGCTCGTCATATCTGGCCTCACGAAGATGCTGCAGCGGGTCAACGAGCTGACGCCGAACACGAGCAGCCAGCGGCCGTTCCAGCCCAAAGATCAGGACCGGCAAGAGTCCATCATCATCGTTCTAGACACGCTGGAGAAGTGTCTGGCGAACACGCCGAAGGACACGACGAAATTTGAGGAGGCGATGAACGTGAAACTGCTGCTTCGGGAGATATGCCAGTTCATAGGTGAGCGGGACAGCAGAGCGGGTAAAGCTCGCGGTGTCGAGTAGAATTGAGTGCACGTGAGGGTCGGGGTCCAAGGACAATTGTTAATATTTGAGTCTCCAAGAGTAATTTCTCACAGGCATGCCGTACGACAGCCCACAGACGAAAATGATAAGGGATTTAGCGAGCAAGGTGCTATTCGCTCTAAGTCTGAATTTCTTCAACGCGGTCTTCAACCGGATATCGGCCAGACTTCAGGAACTGTCCAACAGCGGGGACGAGAATCCGGACTGCAGTGACATCGAGCTGATGCAGTATATCAATGTCGACGTCCACAGGTTGACCAGGCTTCTGAACGGTAGGCGGTGATTATTAACGTGGCGTCGCGATTGCGTAAAGCGGAGATTTAATTGTACACTCACGCGCGCGTTCGCTCGCTATCGCTGCAGAAACTATACAGAAAGTCCGGCAGCTCGTTGGCAAGAAGTCGGCATATCTCGTGCTCATGAATCCACTGGAGAAGGCGATCTGGAACTGGATGGACACGTATCCGCAGGAGTTCGCCAATGTGCAGAAGCAGCCTAATGAGGATCTGAATAAGGCCTGCGAGGAGTTGTTCGATATCCTCGACACGTTCGTGGTTGAGAAGAAGAGCCGCGCGGCCACCGTCTGGCCACTGCAGATGATGCTGCTGGTACTCTCGCCCAAGATACTGGAGATTGTGAGCGCCGATTCCAGATCACCCGATTCGCCACGATATTCGAGGAAGAAACAGTTTATCGATAGTGTAAAGCGTAGTCTGAGAATGCACGGCAGCTCCTCTAGTCGCCAACTGTCCGAGGCCGCGGCGATCACATGCGTAAATCTGATTAAGGCGGCCACGTACGTCAGCAACACCGAATCTGGTAACAACGTCGTCCTAACTCTAGCACAGCAGCTGATGGACGATTTGATGAGCCTTCTCTTCAACCCCTCGAAGCCGTTTTCACGCGGGCAGAATTACAGTGCGCAGGACGTCGATCTAATGATTGACTCCTTCGTCAGCTCCTTCCGTATCAATCCACATAACAACGAAGTTTTTAAGTTTTGCCTGAATGTCAATTACCCGTCAACGTACCAGTTCGTCCTGGTCAGCTCATTATACAAGCAAGTGCCGAAACTATTTTCTTCTCGCAGCAATCGCATGCGGATCTTGCTAGTTGGCAAGTCTGATCGGTTCTGTTGCCGTATTTCAGAATCTTTACGCAACCGAGATTATCGTGGTGGCCGGAGACCAGTCTTGTATATTCCTACGGGACAGAACTCAGGAATATGTTTACCGATACTCTGAACAAGGTGACGCAGAACTGTATGTGGAATACGCCGCTGCGTATGATTCACAACTTTGCCCTCAAGCCTAAAGAGGAGATGGCCAATTCCAAAAATCTGTTGTTGGTGATGGTGCGACTCATTCACGTAGACCCTATGTTGATGTTGCATGTATGTTCCTTTTAAATAAATATGATTTACTTATGAATATAAGCATTAACAGATGCTGATGAAAAGTATAAATAATAAAACATTTGCTACTCTCTCATGAACATTCAACTTAAGTAAAAAAAATATATATATATATAATTAAGATGTACAACTATATATAAACTAAATATGGATAACACGTCCAAGGGCTCCATATTAATTTTACAGAATTACGGCACAGCTGGTCACGAAATACAAAAGTCCACTTTAGAATTGATTAATGGACTTGTCTCGTTAGTCCATCAATCCACGATGCCGGACATCGCCCACGAAGCGATGGAGGCTTTGCTAGTTCTGCACCACCCGGACAAGGTTAAAGCGTGGAATCCAGAAGCACCGCTCGACACTTTCTGGGACGCCAGTTCGCAAGTCGTTTTCTCGATCTCCCAGAAATTGATTCAACATCAGATTTTCAATTACACGACTATACTTAAATGGCTTCGCGAGATATTGATTTGTAGGAATACTTTTCTTTCTCAGTACAAAGATTATGGGAATGTGGACAGCCACATTGCAATTAGTAAACAAGCGCATATTAAACTTGAGGTACAGACCCCTTTGATCACTACATTACTGTCATAAAATTACAATTATTTTACGAAAGTTAACGTGTCCAGGTCGTGTGCTTGATGTATTTATGGAGTATAGACATGGAGGCGGTTTTAGTATCCATGTCTTGTTTTGCATTATTATGTGAAGAAGCTGAAATTCTTTGTGGCAGCGATGAGGTAGCAGTGACCTGTCTGCTTCCAAATTATCAGTTATATTCAGAATTGGCACAAGCTTCGACCGTGTTGATCTCTGGTGAGTATTATTATTTTTTTAATAAGATTTCACGAGAACATTCAGAGTAGATGGAAAGAAATATTCTCCTGGATTCAAAGATTCGCTTGTGAACTTTTGAATTCGTTTCACTATTTTAATTAATAAAATTCTTATTCGTCTGTAGTAGAGTATTAAAGATCTTGTTATCGTAATAGCCCACGGGGAGAGTAGACTATGTTATCAGGAATATAATCACGGTAAGTCTCCAATTGTATTCACTATCTTTTTTTAATGACAAAACTGTTAAGTGCAGCAATTGAAAGTTTCTTTTTATTTCAGGGCGTGCTACATTACAAAAAAGAATATTATTCCTGTTGAGAAAGATAGAACATTGCGTGAATGGTATACAACCAGTACGTATATTAAAACTTATTTTTTTTTGTTCTTACACCTAATACGGGATTTAAACACGAACATGAAATAGTCTTTTTACAAGTAGACAGTACATTTGTATTTTTAGGCTTGGGAAGAAACATTTAGAAATTGGGAAGCAACTTCCCGGCAATTGTCCAATTATCCTAAAAGCAAGACTGAGGACGTGCAGGTAGAGCCGTTTTGTCGCGGTAATATAAAACGGAGAGCAGCACATCAGAATTCAGAGCACGAAGTGGAAGAGCAAATTAACGAGTGGGCCAACATGACAGGGTTTCTTTGCGCTTTAGGCGGAGTATGCTTACAACGTCGTTCACCTAGTAAACCACCGTACGGTGTATTCCCTTTTAATCCCGAGCATAAAAGGGGCTTGACGAAACAACAGGATTCCATTTCGGGCTTAACAAATGCTAATCAAGAGGCGCAATTTTGTCCAGTGACACAATTCGTATTCAACTTATTACGATTACTAATTTGCAACAACGAGAAACTTGGCAGTCAAATACAGAAGCATGTAAAGGAGTTGGTCGCGCATGAGATGAGTCCTGCCCTATATCCAATATTGTTCGATCAAATAAAAAATTTTGTTGAGAAATTCTTCGATCCACGTGGACACGTGGTAGTGTCGGATTTAAACACGCAGTTCATTGAACATACCATATTTATAATGAAAAACATTCTGGACTCAAAGACGGATCAACCATCGGAATACCTCGGAGTGACTAACATTGAAGGGATGATGTTGGCAATCGTCAGATACGTTAGGCATTTGGATATGACGGTGCACTCGATTTGTATCAAAACCAAATTATGCCAGTTGGTTGAAGCCATGATGAAGAGGCGGGACGATCTGGCATTTAGACAGGAGTTGAAATTTCGCAACAAACTAGTTGAATATTTAACCGAGTGGGTAATGTGTACGCACCCTTTTTCTTCAACAACTGTCAACGATATTACAGCTTACACCAGGTGAAATATTTTCTCTCGCTTTATATATAAAAGTATATAAATATGCCAGATTTGTATGTTGAAAACTAAAAATTTTGACTATTGAATCTATCTTTAACTTTTTATAGAGATTTGGATCAAGCTTGCATGGAAGCAGTAGGAGCATTATTACGCGGACTTCCTCTTCAGCCTGAAGATTCTGACCGTGTTGAATTGATGGAAGCAAAGTCTGAACTATTTTCGAAATATTTCATGCTTTTTATGAATCTAATAAATTACTGTAACGAACCATCATTATCATCGGAGGACAAGGATGTTGGGTCTCGGCAATCGCCTACTTTAACGACTAACAAACTAGCCACTTTGCGCAACACTACCATTCAAGCTATGAGTAATCTTCTTAGTGCGAATATAGACAGCGGCTTGAGACATTCAATACGTACGTAAAAAATCAATTTATACTTTTAATTCAAGAATTTTCTGGAGAAACTGATTAAGTCCCAAAAGCATATTTCTTGCTCAATTTTATTCACTATTTTATTTCTTCCAGAGAATTCTTCCGTTATTCGTTAGCTATTAACAACTAATGGCTCTGTCATCTAAATCTTTAACTTCTCATTTAGATTTAGGCTATAACGCGGATCTTCAGACGCGAGCCGCATTTATGGAAGTGTTGACTAAAATCCTTCAGCAGGGTACGGAATTTGATACCCTAGCTGAGACTGTCCTAGCGGACAGATACGAGCAATTGGTTCAACTTGTTACAATGATCAGTGATAAAGGTGAATTGCCTATCGCCATGGCATTGGCTAATGTAGTGACGACAAATCAAATGGATGAGTTAGCGCGTGTCTTCGTGACACTGTTTGACGCGAAGCATTTATTGTCTCCTCTATTATGGAATATGCTTTACCGAGAAGTCGAGCTAACTGATTGTATACAGACTCTTTTTCGCGGTAATACTCTGGGAAGTAAGATCATGTCCTTCTGCTTTAAAATTTATGGCACCAGCTACTTGCAAGGTTTGCTCGAGCCACTCATCAAACCTTTACTGGACGAGCCCACGATTAGTTTTGAGGTAGATAGCGCAAGGATTGACCCTAGCGAAAATATAGAACAAAACGGTGACAACTTAATTATATTGACACAAAAAGTGTTTAATGCTATTGTATCATCAGCAGATATGTAAGTCGTCATTTATTATAACTTGCAAGTGAAAAATCACACGAAGTTCAAGTTTAACATTTCTTTTCAGGTTTCCTCCACAGCTGCGCTCGATGTGTCACTGCCTGTATCAAGTATTGTGCAAGAGATTTCCGCAATCTCCGCAAAGCAACATTGTGGCCGTAGGAACGGTGATATTTCTACGTTTCATTAATCCTGCCATTGTCTCGCCCCAAGAGACGGGTATTGTGAACAAACCGATACCGTACGAAGTCAAACGAGGCCTCATGCTTATGTCAAAGATATTGCAGAATATTGCAAATCACGTAGAGTTCAGCAAGGAGCAACATATGTTGCCGTTTAATGATTTTTTGAGAACACATTTCGAGATCGGTCGACGATTCATCATTCAAATAGCATCGGATTGTGAAACGATTGATCAAATCAGCCATCCTATGTCATTCGTTTCGGATGCCAATGTCTTGGCATTGCATAGATTGTTGTGGAATCATCAGGAAAAAATTGGAGACTATCTTAGTAGTAGCAGAGACCACAAAGCTGTTGGCAGGAGACCATTTGATAAGATGGCTACGTTATTAGCGTATCTTGGTCCACCTGAACATAAACCAGTGGATTCTCAGTAAGTTTTCGAGCTATTCGCTTTAATTGCGCCATCATCACAGTTTCCCTATTCGTTAATAGCTAATAGCGAATTCTATGTTTCAATTTCAGCTCGCTCTTTTCGACTGCTTATGTTCGCATGTCACGATGGGCGAACAAAGACTTGTCGTCGACTAATTTTGAAGAGATCATGATCAAGCATAATATGCATGAGAGAGAGGAATTTAAAAGCATTCAGAGCATGAATATCTTTTATCAAGCAGGCACTAGCAAGCAAGGCTATCCAGTATTTTATTATATTTCACGACGATTCAAGTATGTGTACAAATCGTTTATACACGATAGCAGTAAAGATGTAGCAGAGTTTACCATTTACATTTTGATTTTCAGACTCGGCGAAACGAACGGCGATCTGTTGATATATCACGTCATTCTAACTTTAAAACCTTTCTACCACTCTCCATACGACGTAGTCGTCGATCTCACTCATACGTGTTCAGATAATCGGTTTAGAACAGAATTTTTACAAAAGTGGTTTTACGTTCTACCTGAGGCAGCCTATGAAAATCTCCATGCGGTATACATTTACAATTGTAACAATTGGGTACGCGAATACACAAAGTATCATGATAGTATCCTAGCGCCGTTGAAAGGTAATCGGAAGATTGTCTTCATCGATGGCCAAGTGAAATTAAACGATGTGATTGATGTCGAGCAACAGAAATTACCTGGAGCGACATTATCCCTGGACGAAGACTTAAAAGTGTTCACCGGCGTCTTGAAGCTATCTCACAAAGAGATGAGAGTATCCGTGAAGATCGGACCAACGACGTTGCAGATAACGCACACGGACAGATCGAAAGTGTTATCGCAATCCATTCTCTTAAATGACGTCTATTATGCATCCGAAATAGAGGAAGTTTGTCTGGTGGACGACAATTCATTTGTGCTGACCATTTCCAACGAAGCAGGACCTCTGACTTTCGCTCACAACGATTGCGACAGTATCGTGCAGAATATAATTCACATCAGGAATCGCTGGGTGCTGTCGCAGCCGGACTCTATGTCCATTCACTCGAAAATCAGGCCTAAGGATGTGCCCGGCACCCTTTTGAACATGGCCTTGCTGAATCTCGGTAGTCCGGACCCCAATCTTCGGACTGCCGCGTACAATCACCTGTGTGCGCTCACGGCGACGTTTGGCTTGAAAATAGAGGGTCAACTGTTGGAAACGTCTGGTATTTGCATACCGTCGAATAACACCATATTCATCAAGCATTTGAGCGAGACTCTGGCGGCGAACGATCCGCATCTCACACTCGAGTTTCTTAAGGAATGTATACAAGGCTTCAGGGAATCGACTATCGAGCTGAAGCACTTATGCCTGGAATATATGACACCATGGCTCAGCAACCTCGTGCGATTTTACAAACCGCACGATGAGGGTGGTAAGCGGCAGAAGCAAGTCACAGAGATCCTAGATGATTTAATTACATTGACTGTCCAGGAGATTGAAATGTATCCGAGTATACAGGCCAAGATCTGGAGTACGATTGGTATGCTGCCGGAACTGATAGACGTTGTTCTTGATATTTTTCTCCAACGTAGCGCGCGATATGGCTTAGGCTCACCGATGGCTGAGATCATGGCTGATACTGCAGTCGCTCTGGCGTCCGGTAACGTGCAACTGGTCGCCAAAAAACTAATCAACAAGGTATGTCGAATCGTGGACAAGACATGCATGTCGCCGACATCGCAACTAGAGCAGCATATAATGTGGAGTGACATAGCGATTCTGGCGAGATATCTCCTGATGCTGTCGTTTAATAACTGCCTGGATGTAGGAAAACACTTGCCGTACATTTTTCACACGGTGACGTTGCTTGTATGTTCCGGCAGTTTGACCATGCGAGCTTCCACTCATGGTTTGGTGATCAACAGTATTCATTCACTGTGCACGTGCAGTTCACCTTCGTTTACCGAAGATACACATAGGATACTACGGATGAGCCTCGACGAGTTCTCACTGCCTAAGTTTTATCTGTTGTTCGGTATTAGCAAAGTGAAATCCGCTGCTGGCACGGCTTTCTACAAACACCCAAAATCCAGCTGTAAACACGCGAATGAAAAGTGGCTTAGTAACGAGAGAAGTTCGTACGGAACACAGGACAAGGAGAGACTCTATTTAACCAGTTTGGAAGTCATAACCGACGCTCTTCTGGAGATCATGGAGGCCTGCATGCGGGATATTTCAAAGTGCGATTGGTTAAAAACATGGACATCATTAGCGAAGAACTTTGCCTTCTGCTTAAATCCAGCTTTGCAGCCACGAGCCCTCATTGTCTTTGGCTGTATCAGCAAAAGTATAACGGATCAAGACATGAGGCAATTACTGAAGATACTGATGAAGGCACTCGAAAGTTTCAACGATATTAATCTTATGGAGGCTATTGTTATGTGTTTAACACGATTGCAACCTCTGCTACGACCCGTAAGTTTTCGTCTAGGGTTTTAGGGAATCGTTCAACTTCAATATTCAGTAAGGAAGTTTATGTCGACCTTAACTGGCCCAAGTTTAATATAAATTAATAGTGCGACGTTTCGACTTTTGATTGAGGTCCTTTTCAAGCAAGATCTTAAAAATGTGTGTGTAAAAGTTGTAAGATCAGTCATGCTCCGGTCATCGAATATTGCGAACGTTTCTAATTTTGCGTCTTTCTTTCTTTTTATTTTGTAACTCATGTTCTCTCGTATCGATTGTTCTCACTACAATGACAATCTTATAACTCTTACACACACATTGTTAAGATCTTGCTTGAAAAGGACCTAAACCAAAGGTCGTAAGATCGACATAAATTTCCTTATTGTTATTTATTACTGGCAACCTTAAGAATCTTTAATTTTTCCATTTTCAATATCAAATCTGCTTTATCGTTTTCTGTCAAGGAATCCCCGATACATAGATATTTATTCTGGGTTGCCACATCCGTTCTCGAGCTAGACGAAGTGTCGTTATACGCATCCGGCCTAGCCCTTCTTGAGCAGAATTTACACACACTTGACTCGCAGGGCACTTTCGACGAAAAGGTCTGCATTCTTCATTTCTCCTCGAATCTTGATTAATCTATAAACATCTGTCAATATGCAGAATAATAGAGACTAAACCATTACCCATTACTCTTTTCAGACATTAGAATACGTAATGATGTCAACGCGTGAACCTTTGGAATATCAGTTTAAACAGTTGGATCATACTGTTGGTTTGTCCTTTAAATCGAACTTTCATTTTGCCCTGGTCGGTCATCTTCTGAAAGGCTACAGGCATCCTACGCCGACTACAGTCACCAGGACGGTTAGAGTATTGACTATGTTGCTGGCAATCGTGGCTAAGCCTTCCAAGAGGGATAAATTCGAAGTAACGCCTGAAAGTGTCCCTTACTTGACCGGTACGTTTACGTTGGTTTACAATAAGTTCGAGATATAAAAAAATTATTCTGAATTTCATTCTGCAGCGCTAGTAGCTGTGTCAGAAGAAGTTCGTAGCAGATGTCACATCCGACACTCTCTTGACAAAAGTTTGCACGATTCGTCAGGTAGTTCGGACGTTCTCGATACTCTACCATCGCGCAATACGGTGACTATCATTTTTCCGTTTGCTGTTATAATACAGAATTCGTAAAACATAATACATAAAGTACATATAAAGAAATTTTACATTCGCCAGGATATACCTGGAGCTTCCAATCCTACGAGTAGAAGACAGAAGACCTGGGATTTATTGGATCAATCGGCGCTTACTCAAGCGAAACAACAAAAACAGTCTGCGCAGGTATAAAAATAATGTAATTACAAGCGCGCGCGCATATTTTTTGTTTAAAGATTTGTGCATTTGAAATATCGTAGGAACACCAACTTTTGTGACCCCAAAAATCTTACTTTTTTTATTATTATTTATTATAATAGAGTATATCGAAATGTAGCACTATTTTCTCGCACACACAATTACGTATTTAGCAAGTTAAAGAGGAATATCACTCTCGTGCATACAGAGAGCATGAAGTTAGTTTGGAACAATGCACTGCATGATCCTAAAGTTCTAAAAGAACCGAGAGAAATGCTCGCACGAAATAAAATTATGCAGAGCTTATTCGTACAAAATCTGAATTATCTTTCTCAAAATATTCATATGTGTAAGTTGCGCGACAAATCATATTGCTTCTTTACTATCGCTTTGCTTATCTTGTCTCTACGAATTGTTCAATCAAATCTTTCACCAAGGAATAACTGTTTATCAAATCAGTCTCTTACCTGAGAACCTTGTATGTGTGTGTATGTGTTTTACCTACAAAATATAACAAAATGTGAAAATATAGTAAATCTATATCCATGTATTTATCTAGAATTATATTCTATATTTTTGGGGTAGGTATCTAACTTTATTTACTGTATTCTTGGTATGAAGTTTTTCAGTTCAGTTTCATCACTGAATTTCTTGATTCATATAAAAAAGTATCAAAGCTTTCAAGCACAAGTTAAACGAAAGTTGATTTTACGTGATGGTTTGTCTATCGTTTGCCGTACTTTTCAATCCGATCCCGCAGTTGATACTAGTAGACTTGTTACGCATAGCATATAACATTATTTTATTCCTCCATGCATCTCTGTTTATTCTCTCGGTGTGTGCCCGCGTCTGCCTGTGCCTGCCTGGATTATATAAAATACCATACAACTTGTCACTAACAAGACTGGCCGGCTTTTATTTAAATCGCAGCGATCCTTGAGCGTGCCGAGCGCAAAGGACGACAAATCGATGGACAACGTAGAACATCAGGTAAGTGTCATTTCAATAATAATTTTTGTACTTTTTCTCTCTCTTGGAATCGAAATGGTTTTCTATAACTATTTATATTGGGAATATGGAACGGCCCACATTTATAATATTTAATTTTTTAAGCTCATCGCGAGTCGACATAACGAAAAAAACTAACGTATTCGTATTCTTATGCTACACACAGAGAGATCGCAGCACCAGAGTGAGCCTAAGCAACGAAAATAACGTCTTACTCGATCCGGAGGTATTAACGGACTTTTCAACGCAAACCTTGGTGCTGACCATGTTGGCTACGCTGGTGAAGTATTGTACCAATGACAACGAAACACGAATATTGTATGAATATCTGGCAGAGGCAACCGTAGTTTTTCCTAAAGTTTTTCCAGTCGTGTGAGTTAAACGGGATATCTGAGACTAATCATCAATATTTTTCAAATATTTATAACTTGCCGGATATCTTTGCAGACATAATTTGCTCGACGCGAAGATCAATAGCGTATTGTCTTCCTGTCATGACCAAGCGATACTGAACGCCGTTCAAACTATCATACAGAACATGATAGCTTGTGAAGATTCGAACCAGCAACATCATTTGCAACACTATTTGCAAAGCTGCGGATTCCGCGGCCTTTGGAGATTCGCAGGACTTTACACGAATGTAAATTTTGGATTTTAACATTTGATTATCTGTTTAATAATTGAATCTTAATATGAATCTAGATGCTAAAAGTCTTATTTATTTGTAATGCAATTGACAATGTGTTTACAGTCAAACTGTACGCCCGAGAGTGCCGAATTGTTTGTGAATTGTCTGAGAGCAATGGTGGAAATGTGTTTGACGATGCAAGAATTGAATAGTAAAGAGACAGGTGTCGGGAGGAATAAACGCGCTGGCAGCTGTCAATCAGATTTTGCATCGAGAACAAGACCATCCGCTGGAATTGTCCAAGAACAGTCTCGTTCTTCAATAGAGATCGACGCTTCTTCCGTTCATTCACAGTGAGTTTCATTTTACTCGCAAGGCGAGTTTGCTGCTTAAATGCGATTTTGCGTTATCGCGGATATGCAAAAACACAATGCACACCAAACAAATTGTATGTTTCAGTCATAATACGGATAGCAAGCGAAACAATTCGGTTGATTCGAGTCAAACTAAGGACATGGGTGGTGGTGATGGTTCACAACCTTAGCAATTAATTTGCGATGCTGGCAGGCAGTGTGATAAAAGTGTGCGTACGAAGCAAAATAATCGTAAGCTGCAACGGCAGATGAGATGTGTGAACTCTAAATAATTACATTGTAAATATAGGTAAGATATTAATGATTTAATTAAAAGGTACTATTACTTGTATTAATTCATCAAGAATTATTTGACGCCGGTACATGACTAACAATGATTAAGCTTCTAATCGACCATAACTGGCGATGTGTTTTAAACACTGAACTTTTATTGCGAAAAATATTACCTCAGCCAGGGTTTGAACCTGGATCTCTCTACACTCTAGGCGGGCGTCTCACCAATTCGAACCACCGAGACATATTAAAAATATTACCTCAGCCAGGGAGACGCCCGCCTAGAGTGTAGGGAGGTCCGGGTTCAAACCCTGGCTGAGGTAATATTTTTCGCAATAAATTTTCTGTTTTTAAAACACATCGCCAGTTGGTCGATTAGAAGCTTAATCATTGTACTATTTCAGTTACATTATGAAAGAGATTTACCTGCAAATATTTTATTTTACAGAACTTCGCACACGTTTATCCCGTGTTATTGATGTAACACGTTTGTCAGTCAGTTTAGTACAATGCCGTCCACATCATGATAATGAGCCTACAGACGTGGAAGTTGTCGAAAGTTATATTTTCGAAGAACCTTATTTTATTTTTATTAATGATTATTAATGTGTTAACGATTGACTTTCTTTGAATATTACATTATACAGGGTGAGTCTTTCCATATCCGATAAAATTTTTGAGAAGGTAGAACGGATCGAGATGAACGGAAAAGTCCTGTACCATTTTGCAATTTTCGTAATAGTTAACGATTAATTAATTATTAAAAATCGTTGTCTTAGGCCGGCCTACCGCCCAATTCGAGCGCGTGGCAAGATGTGACCGCCTGGCGATCGATAATGCTATGCGCACATCTCGCCACGCGCTC